GCTGTTGACCGGTCGACGCGCCGTCATGTGATTGTTTGGCGTTCGTTTTCACACTGACCTTTCATAGTTCCCCCGAGAAACCCCAAGCCGAGCTGCTGGGAAAGCCCTCCCGCTCCAGCATACGTCACTGCATGGGATTCCTTCCCCGGGGAGTGCAATGTGGAAAAAAAAAAGTCTGCGGCTCTTCACTCGACGTTTATCCACAAACTGGTCCTGGATTAAGCTCCAAAGTTTTTATCAGTCAGATTCCACCGTGAAAAATGTCTGTTTTATCCCCTTTTATGAGTTTTTGGCCATTGACTATCTTTAAATCGCTGCTTCCTGGTACAACAGTCGGCTCTGGAAGCGATCACTTTTTTCTTCCTTTTTTTCCTTTCTTTTTATTAAGCGAGTGTTTGAAGCAAATGCAGCATAAGAGCCCCCTGGTAGCTGATGAAAAAAATCCATGTATGAGCCGCACCGGACTATAAGCCGCATGGTTCAAAGTTCAGGAAAAAAGTCGCGGCTTATAGTCCGAAAAATACAGTAGGTAAAACTACAGAAATAAAAATAACATTGGATAGTGCCACCATCTTGGTAGGTGCTATGTGGCGTCTTTAGTTACTGTCAGCATGGCAGCAAACCATAAATYTCTGAGGAATAAAAGACAAAACTCAACAAAATAACTCAATGTTTTGCTGTTACGTAATAAATACTTACAATAAAAGAAAAAAACATGGTATTACTTTTAGGGATGCACCGATATGAAAATTTCAGCCGATGTCGACATCCAATATAATTATTACTGTTATGGCCGATAACCGATATTTACCAATATTACACAAACACACAAATTATATTATACAAATACGCACAAACACACTTGGGTCTTTTTTTGATACCGTAAATAAACGACCAGACCTCTGACATGGCTTCTTACTTCAGTTATTCCTGGCTGTGCAACATAAATATCACTATCATGATCAAACAGATTTTGCTCAATCAACCATGTCCCCTCCCAAAACAGAAACACAAAACTAAAAAGTGGGAAATCAATATCAGACGTTAATATTGGCCCAGTTTTACATATCGGACCGATATTGATATTCTAAAAAATGACCAATATCGGCCGATACCGATATGAATGCCGATATATTGTGCATCCCAAATTACCTTTTTTTGTCTTGAAAATACCAGTCTAGTCTAGTCGAGTACACTGTATTATTATACTATGGTGCAGTATGAGGGCCAAAACTGAGACTATTGCACAACCAGCGGTTGCTACATCTGTGTAGCAGGAGGCTGTATCTATTCCTAAGCCAGCTATTGAGCTGAATAATGATAGGCRGGCACCAATAACTGAGAGACCCTCACTGGCAAATGAGAAGGAAACTATTCATTTCATTGGAGAAGCTAGCGACTAGCATGGATAAGCTGGCATTAGCATTGGAGTGGCTAGCGACTAGCATGGATAAGCTAGTAACCCACTGGTCTGGACTGCCTGGTTACTCGGCTGTCCATTGGCATGGTTAGGCTGGCATTAGCATGGAAAGGCTAGTGACTGCCCCTCAGGTTGGGAACCACTGGCCTAGAACACTGTAACTTAAAACACATAAGTTTTAATGATATATGCTAAATATTACTAACTAATAGTGTATTTGTGGCTAAACAAAAGCTCAGTTATCATGTCCGATTGCAAATAATGTATATAAGACCTAAAATTTTTCTGGAATTATAAAGAAAAAGACTATTTCATATAGGTTTTTCTTATTAGGCTACTCTATTAATCTATTAATATTATAAGATTTTTCCCACTTTTCATTCAGTAATTGATTTACTTTGTGTTTATGAACTTTTTGTTGTTTCTATTAAATAAATAATTTAAAAAATAATTTTATTAATCTCAGTGCAGCTAATTAAATACCCTGATAGCAGAGTTATGTTTCGCTCTAAACCTTTATTTAAAATGTTCGTGGTTTTGGACTCATCATTGCAGCTGGTGGGATCCCTTTACTCTCTGTGCTGCATTTCTGACTACAGCAGTCAAAATACAATAAATTCTATCTTTAAATAAGTTTAAGATCATTATGACACTTATTAKAACAGAAGTTGAAGCTTTCATTGTTGAACTTGTGAATGTTTTATTTCCTGAAAAGGACARATGTCACACTTACACAGCCACACTTACGTAAAGCAGAAAGAGCTTTATCATTGAATTCATTGAACTACTGCTGTAACTGCAGTAAAATCTTTAAAATGTGTGTTTCACGCTGGTTATGAAACTCATTCAGTGACGTTCGGTTTATCTTTACGGTCTATAAAATGTTCAAGGATTCTTCACCAGACTGGTTCAGACTCCTGTAACTATTGTTTGCATTCACTTTCAGTCTGACTCCTACATACTGAARGACACCCAGCTGTCTACGATACCGCTGGACGAGTTTGCAGAAGAGAGGGAGACGCCGTTTCAGGAGCATCCTTCAGCCAGAGCAGCTCAGCAGGACCAAGGCTAATCATGTATGAAGGCCCATTCACGGGACGCTTTCTAGTGTCCACTTAGACTTTTCTCTCACTCAGGTTGACAAGTGTTTCTTTTCAAAGTAGTCTTTCCTTTTGTGCAAAGATTTTTTTATATAAATGGGTAAGTTAAGAGGTTCTGGGGGATCCAGGGAAGGTGTATGGGAGTGTTTTTGGCTGGGCTATTTCTAGCTAGATGGACCACTTTTATTGTTTTGTTTTTATGTCTTTTTTTAGTTTTCTGGTGTTAGGCAGCACAGAGATTATCCTTGAATGTTCCTGTTATAGAACAACTTTTATTTTGAAGTTTTTGTGTATATGTCGACCCAGTCTCACTGAAAAATGGGAAATAGACACAAAACTCAATCTTGCAATTTGCAATAATGAATATTTAGCATTTTATGATGCTTGTACCACTTCTCAGTACTTTCCTGTTAACCTGATTAAATCATAAATATTTTGTTTTGTGACTATTCCACCTTTTATTAGTGAGACTAAATATGTGCATWTACAGTATATAAGTTATTGGTTCTAAATTATTGGTCTCATTTCTCCACGTTTAATAATGTTAAAGACTCGTGCTGCCTGCTCTCCCAATGAAACCACCTTCTTACTCACAGAAAACCTCAACCTTCTTCCAGGGATTCAATATATTCTGTCTCAGGACTTTGTTTCAGTGAAATCAACATTTTTTTTATGAGTTCTTGGCCTTTGTACCGGTATTAGACTTGGCTGTGTGAACTTTGCGATTGAACAAAAAAAAAGGAAAGAAAAAGAAAACCTACCTCAGCCGGAATGAATGTGTCGTGGGAAGTTTTAGGGTCTTTACCTTCCCCCCCGTGCTCACAATGACTTTACAAATATGGAGGAACCAACTGGTTGGACAACTGCAAGATCAGGTGCCGCTCTACCTCAGGTGTCAACAATCGACTCTCCTCTCCTGCTTAACGACAGAAAACGGACAAAAGAGCATCCAACATAAAGCACTTCCAAATGCTGAAATTATTGTTCTACCTCAAGATAACAAAGTTAATGTTGTCGCTGTTGTTGTTGTTGTTAGACTTCTTATTGCATAATCAAAACCCTTCTTTTTTTTTCTCCTCCCCCCCTTTGTGAAGTCCTGGATATGATGTTTGTACAGTGTCAGTACCTCATGCAAGTTGACAGACTGATCGTTTTGTTTACTGTATTTTGCGAATGTGTAGATGCTATGTTATTTTAAGGATCACTGTATTTTTCTCACTGAATATCAGTTCAGTGGATGAAAAGAAAGACTTAGATGTACACTGCATTTATAATCATGTCTTCAGGCGTTATTTTAACGATCATCAAGGTTGGGTATGTATTACTAAACTGGACAGGAAGCACTAAAATTGATTGGCYTGATTTATGTTTTTAACGACTAGTTGAATGACTTTTATAACTACTTTGACATTTTGGCTTCTTCCTGGTTGTTAGATGAAAGGACAAATACTTTTTTATGTTTAATTTTCACATTCTGGTAAAATCAAACTTGTGTTTTTCAAACCAATAATAAGTCAAACATGGTATAAGCTAAATATTCTTAAACTCTGGCTAAAGTAGGATTTGCAATAAATAAATTGAAATTAAGTCTTTACTGTAAATACAAAATAAAATCTCCAAATTGTTAGCTTAGCTTAGCATAATAATCAATGGAGCTTTCAAATGGTAAAGCTAACTATTAATGCAATTTAAGAAACTAAAGAAAAATCAATATTTTGGCTTGTTTTTAACAGAGTGGTATTTATCTTTTCATCTAACTCTTTGCCAGAAAGTGGCATAAGTGTTTTAACATCAAATATAATGATTTTTAGAATAAAAAGGGAAAAAGAAGTTGAATTCTTTAATTATTCAAACTCAAAGCAGTGTATCTCTAACTCTTTTTTTCGAACATGTTACTGCAGTACTGTTAGTGATTTGTTTTTGATTTTTTTGTTTTCATGTCACCTGCCTTTATCAAACGAAACAGTAGCCTTTTTTACACATGTGGTGCCCAGTAGACGAGACAGTTGCAGATCTTGCTTGTCTGCCGTAACTCTTCCCAAAACTACAATAGCTGCTCATTCTTCTCCCTCCTGTCAACATTGAATCACTTCCTTCTCCAGGAACATGGTGTTTGTACTCATTAGACGCTGACGAGCACAGACAGAGAGCTCGCCTGGGGGGAGATTGACGATTGTTTGGTAGCCGAGCCGTCTCGATGCCTCTCTCCTCTCCGCGGCTTCCTGCTCTGTGCGAGGAGTTGCTTTGACACATTTTGGTTACCTACCTCAACCATGTTTTTTGGCCTTTCTCTCAGGTCCAGGTGAAGGAAACTATGTGAAAACGATGAAACGGTTTGAAATGAAAAGGCAAAAATGCAGCTGTTAGAAAATGTTCAACATGCAGAAATAACAGTCGGTCGCACAAATGGAGGGAGAACTTTTCAGGACCTTTATGTCATGCACTAACTATGAGAACAGTTTATACTTTATTTCCAGTAGTTGTGAATGTGTATAAGATTTTTTTTAAATAATTATGTTTTTACTTTATTTTCTCTCACTGAGGGTCTTATTGTGTCGAGAAAACTGAAAAAAAAAGTGAGTGACACCTACAACTCTGACTCCTGAAGTGTTTGAGGATGTTTTCTTTTTTGGTTGAATTCAGATTGATTTAAAAAATGCCTCATTTTATTTCTAATTTGGAAATAATGTTCTTATTCTTATTAGATGATCCAACATTTTGAATTTGATCTAAATTTGTCATCTGCTTTTTAAAGCCCTGTCTGACGTTTTAGACAACTTAGGCCAACCTGTGTAAATATTATCATGACTAAAGTGTTAATATAGGTTATATATTTAATCTGATCCTTAGCATTACAGTATGTATACGTCCAAAAGAGGCTTCTAGTAGATTTTTTTTTAACTCGTATCTTCAGCGTAGACATATTTAGTGTTGGACAAAACTTTCTCAAGTTGGCATAACTTATTTAAAACATTATAATGCGACAGGACCTTCAGTGTTAAAGGGGACATATCCTGCACAATTTACTTTTTTTGCAATTAAATATATTTTGTTGTGAACTTGGAGTCTCTAGGGGTGCAGAAATTTTTAATTTAGAATGGACAGCTCTGGAAACTGCAGGGGAGCAGGGTGTGAAGCTCCTTGTTTGGATTTAAAGAGACAAATTCAAAATAAGTTGATCTGAGACACACCCCCAAAAAGGGGAGGGGCTTGTGTTGTTGCAATAAGGAGGAATTCAGTTCCACTTTATATAAACCCCAACTGAAGGATGTAAATATGAAAAAGGAAGAATAAAAAGCAGAATTTGTCTCCTTTAATCTGGTTTAGTAGCAAAAATATCAACTTGTTTACCAGCTGGTTAAGACATTTCTAGCTTCAGTTCAATTGGATCACTAATAAGAAATGAAATTTATTTTCTGAAATCCTAACTCAAACAGAAGTTGTATGTTTCCTCACTTTATGTTGTTTTAATGTGTTATGCAAACCAGCATTACTGTACTGAGTACACATCTTAATTATCTTAGATCATCTCTAATTTTATGCCTTTGAAATTATGTTTATTTCTTGTTCTTATGTATTTAATTGTTAATACCACATTAGATTTGGGCAACATCTGGTCAAATTCTCAATGTAAAAGTCTCCTCTGTGTGCATTTATTCACTACAAGCGAAATATTTTCTCTCAGAGGCTGCTGTGGCTCTAATCAGTGTTTTTAAATCTCTGCTGGAAGTAGTTTCACTGAAGATAGAAGTGATATTTTTTCTGTTTTGTACTTCCTCGTTGTAATTGAGGGTTAATCTCTTCCTGCAGGAAATTGATCACCCCTGTGGTTGTGACAGGTCTGAGTGTTGTACTATTTAACCTGATCCACCAGGAATGTGGTTCAGGGACGATGATGTTTGCGTGATTGGACTTTTATAAGCCAGGTTGTCATATTGCAGTATAATACAAGAACCTTGATTTAATGAGGTGCTCAAAACTGTGACCACCAGCAGACTGGTTCTGTGACGCCGTCAATTGTATGATTTCTATCGCTGAAACAGCTGATGATTCAAAGGTCTTTTGTCCTAGTTTAATCTTGGAGAGGTGCTAACGTCATGCTGTTCCAGTCAGTTAGCTCAGTTTTTTTCTCTCCTTGTTTGGGAATCCTGGTTGCTGGTTAAGCATTGTGCTCAGGAAGTTACTGGAATGGCCTCACGGAGTTGGTTTTCTTCCGTAAATTCTGCACTTGGTCCTGTTTTGGCACGATGGCTATGAATGGTAGCTACCTCTTTTGTCTGTTTGAGTAAAAACCGGACAAAACAGCAAAATGATGAGTATCTGCTCCTTTTCTGTCCCTCGTTTGTCCAATCTGAAAGCAATCAGTAAATAATTCACCTTCCTCTATTGCCATGGTGGGAAAACATTGGAAATTTTTAAGCTTCAAAAATAAATAAAATATTTATTACTTTTACGTGTTTTACAAGTTATTACTCTAAATTTATTCTGGTAGAAATGAGAATCAAACAGTTAAAAAGTGCAAAATTTGTGCTTTTTTTAAAGTTTGCAGAACTTTTATAGAGCGGTGAATCCATTTGTTATTGAAAATGATTGTGAGGATAATCWGTTTTCACAACAACCACAACCAGCTGTTTTATTTCACCCTCAGGTTCTCATGAAGGAAGCATCATGAGCTGTTTTTTTTTACATTGAAACGCTGCCACTTTAAGGCTCTTATAGCTGCAGCTTTCTTTCTTATGCATTTTCTAAACACAGGTGAACAGATTGAGTCAAAAGCAAGAAATAAAATTAGACCGACTGGACTGATATTGTACTGCTGCATGACAACTGAGTTATTCTGTAGAAAACAGCACAGAAATTCAGCAAACCTGAAATGTTCACACTCTTCTCTCTGAAAGCTCACATAAGATGCAATCAACTTTTTGCTAAATCCCCCTTGACATTAATCAAACTGGTGCCAAATGACCACCCTGATATGATTGTGAACTGCTTACAAATCCAATGAGTTTTTCTCCCTTTGCTATTCTGAGACCCCATTGGCCGCACAAAATACTTCTGAGTTTCACTGTTTTTCGAAATACTTTATGTCATTTAAATGTAACTATTCTTTAATGTTGGAGATCAGTATTATATTTTCCACTCTGTTTTCTAGAAGACAGATTTAATCTGGTGTGTTTTAAAGGTAGTAAGCAGAGAAAATCTACAGTAGATCTGCWTGAAAAAAAGGAAAAGAACAAAAAAATATACTGGCGTGTTATTTTAGCTCAATTGAAAAGTGTTGGTTAATTCTTATTGGACTTGTGATGGTAACACTGTGATATTCAGCCCAAAAAACATACAAAAAAGGCAAAAATAATGTTGTGATCTCAGTATGGTACTATTGATGGTCCTGTCTCACATTGTTGGTCGATCTGTTTTAATGGTGTGTATTGATGAAAATACGCTGAGTGACCTTTTCAGTTGACAAAGTCTGTCTTGCRCTCGTTGGCACCTGATGATCACCTCATCCTCATCCTGTTCCCACCTGACATCCTGACTCGGGGTGAGGTCCTGTCAGTCTTTTTTTTGTGTGTCAAACTAAAATAAAATAACATGCTGTGTTCATTTTCCTTCACAACCCATCTTAGCTTGAGGAGAATGTTCTGTATCGATCCTGCCAACACCAGCTAAACCCTCAGAAACACAAAAAGAGCCCGAGTAGAATCTGCGCCGTCGACACATCTGTCTTTTATTGCTGAAAGATTTTCAAATAACCAAATAAAAATTTACGATCATTTTTCCTACAGAACATAGGTGCAGCTGTTTGTTGCCATTTTATTTACTTCAAATTTAACTTGAAGTTTATCTGAAAAGATTTTAGTTTTAAATCCTGCAGGGTTGAAACATATAGGGTGCCGTTTGTAAAGTTACACAGTCAGAAATTACCACCAATATTTTTGTTTTATTTAGCATTTTATAAGCAAAAAGAACAGATTTATTTTTCAAAGTCAGTTTTTCACCATACATTTATAAATGTCATAGTTTATAAACTAAATATTTAACTTACAAATTAAATATTTTGTTAACAAGCTAAATATTTAACTTGTGACTCAAAACTAAATATTTAAGTCACAAGTTAAATATTTAGCTTGTTAACTAAATATTTAATTTGTAAGTTAAATATTTAGTTTATAAACTATGACATTTATAAGTGTATGAATCATAAGGTGAAAAACTGACTTTGAAAAATAAATCTGTTCTTTTTTTCTTATTAAAGGCTAAATAAAACCAAACTATTGGTGGTAATTTTTGACTGTAACTTTACAAACGGCACCCCATAGAAACATGGTGCCAAATCACTGACATGTATCTGAATGCTGTACGTTTCCATGTGTAGGAGTTTTGATCTGGTCAGCTGATCCATCGTATTAAAGGAATAAAGGGAAAACAAACTTTAAATGAGTGAAGCTCACGATCATTCATCGTCACCGTTTGTCTGACGGTTTGTTCCTGTCAGTCTGTCTTGTTGTGTGTTTGTCTGCTGAGGTCACTGCCGGTGTCCGTGCTCCTCCCACAGTTTAATTCAGGTGAACACGAGATGTTTTTAAAAAGGTGTTCTCAAAGAGTTTTCAGGGATCACGACCGTATGTGTTCTCAAAGTTATCTTTCTACGTTTTCTTTTCGACTGAGATGTCACGATTATAAATTATAAATCTCTATACATATCCACATATACTGTGTGTACCGTATGTGTGTATGTATATGTGTATAATGAGACCATTTCTAGTGGTTTGTATTGTTTTAGGGTTCATTGTGCAACACTGATTGAAGAAAAAACAATAACGGTGATAATAAATAGCTCTAGTAATAATAAATCCACTGTTTGCCTTTGTTTTTTTTTCTGAGTCTGTGTGGAAAGTAGTGTAATCTACATGTGTGTGTGTTTGTGTTTGCTTCCTGCAGTCCGCAGAGATGCAGCAGATCAATGTAGTCCAGGCTTGTGGTCTTTCTCTCCTCTCTGCCGCTCCTGTTCTCCTGTTCGGCACATTAACTCATGGCCTCCTGGCCAGACAAAGAGTATTGAGCAGGAGGCCCAGAGCTCCTGGTCGATGGAGGTTGGTGCCGGACTTCTAATCACAGTAAATCCCAATGCATGGCTGCACTTTGAGGCAAAACCCAGAGTCCAATATGAATCAAATGCCTCTTTATCTGGCTCTCCTCCGGGACACACCAAAGGCTGGTTCCATTGTTTTCTGTCTTTTTGGTTAGTTTTGACCCTCTTGGGATTGATTTTTTTCCCCCTTTCTTTTACCTGTAAAGAAAGAAGGAACAGCACAATGAAACATCAATTGTAAAACTACAACAAGGCAGACACTATTTGGTTGTTAAAATAAAAATGTTGTTTTTAATTATCACCCATAGCCTCAAAACAATTTTTATGCTTCTGTCTGTGTGTGWGAGTGTTACCAAATTATCTCATGAACTTCTGTGCAAATTTGAAAAAAAAAAAAAAAAAAACGTGCAGAAAAACGTAAAAAAAAAAAAAAAAAAACGTGCAGAAAAACGTTTTTTTGGATGTCCATCTAATTACATTTTAGAATCAGCCTGAACCAA